TTTATATTCATCTTTGACAAATTATAAAAGTACTTGGATCGAAAATTAATTCAAAACATGTTTTTAAAAAATATAGAATTCTTTTCAAATTATGAATGAAAAAGTATCTTCTACAATGTAGCTTTCGGTTTTTTCAAAATTATAGTAATTGTAACAATAGTTCAAAAAAATAATGTAAATAATAAAATTTTACTTACGAATAAAAGAGTAATTTAGTATTTGAAACATTTCAATTTCATTAGAAGAAAATTCGAAATTATGGAATAATTTCTGTTTATATTGAAATTGGAATATAAAGTTAAAAATTACATTTGCAACTTTTGAAAAATTTTTAACTTTTCATTCAATAATTATACGTGTAAAAAGTTTCAAAGTTTCACCTATTTGGCATAAGAAATATAACATCGTTTAAAATGTCCATCTTTTCTCGTTCTCGGTAAATTCCTTGAAACTTCTTCGACCGAAGAAGAGGGTAAAAAAAAGAATCATCTAGTAGTTGAGTCGATCGGACGGTTCGTTTCCTTCGACCACTTGTAGCCTCGAGAACCACGAGTACAATGGCATGGTACTGTGGAAGATGGTGGATTGCGAAGGGAGAAAGAGAAATTGCTCGACGAATGGAAATTCAATCGAACGGCCTGATCGTATTATTCCCTAATCTAACCTCTTCCTCTCCGGCCTGTGCCGCGTGACGCCAACTTAATGGGCTTTTAATCGAAAAATGGTAATCGAGGGAAGGATCCACGCGGACTGTTGACACGATCTTTCTAATCTCATGGTAGTTTAGATTTTGGAAATGATCAATACTGTAGAATTTCAGAGTTTATACGTAGACCATTCGTTTTTAAGTTCAGTGATGACTTTATAAAATGGAATTAGAATTAGAAATGGATTGATGGAAGAGAAGATGAAAATGGGGTTAAATATATTGACTTCTACTACTGCAAGATCTTGAGGGGTACCATTGAACTTTGTGTTTCTATAAAATAATGTTGGACTTTATTATTTGTTAGAATTTGTTTCTTTTATAGGAGTATTATGAGCGCATGATATATTGAGTCATACCACTGGGAATCGTTGAGTTGTACCACTGAATTCTTATCAGAATAACAAAAAAGAGTATAGGAAAGATAGAACTACATTATAATAAAATACTTGAGTTTCACTATCTGTTAGAGCCAGTTTAGGTAGAAGTGTTATAGGTGCATGATATATTGACTTATACTACTTACTGATATTAATAGCGCTATGTTGAGTGCTAAATTTAACTATATGTTAGGATAAACTTTCCATAGAATTCTTATGGAATTCTACAACTGAGGAAGTTATCGTTGAGCTGTACTACTGAAATTGTATCAAACACTGATTTTTTGATCTGTTCTATTATAAAATATTGAATTGTGCTACTCTATTATGATATTATGTATATTTAATTAACATTGCGTGTTGAATAATTCTAATTTTTAATAACATTCGATAAAATTTTCTTGATAGAAAAACATGAATATAAAATAACCTCCAGAATCATTTATATTAATAAACATCAATTTATATCATCGAACTACTTACACTAAAAAACTGAACTATAAAAATGCAATTTATATATGAAATATTCAGATGTATTACCAAGTAATTCTGACTTTTACTGCAGTTTTAAAGAACTTTGATGGAAGAGAAACAGATGAGATGGGTAGTGAAATATATCGAGTTACTATACTACAGAGTTGCCTCGAGTTTTACTACCACAGTTCATTGATACTCTGTGTAGGTTTAAATTGAAAATTGAATTCAATATCGTTAAAATGTAAACTCAATTAGAATTGTTTGATTAAATAAGCTTCGCTACAAACATTTAATCCTCTGTGTATCAGTATAAAACAAGTACTCAACAATTTATGAATTTTATTCTATCCTTTATTTTCTTTTTTAAATTATTTTCCTATTGTATATTAAATTGTATGAAAGTCAACGTGGTAAAAATAGCACCATAAATCTGATTGGCAAGGAAAATCTGGACACACAAAACGATATATGGTTTTCTTTAATTCGACGATCGATAAATCTGTCGTAATTGACTTCATCACCCGTTTCCTCTTCTCTCCTTTTTTCGTTCGCGTGCAAGGAATTCCGACCGCAATAAGTGCTTCAGAAATAATTATCATTTTAACGGGACGTGGCTGTAATCGCCAGTGTCCCGCGATTCCAAGAATTTCATTAGTTTCGATTCAAGCCCGTCTACCCTCGATTGTCTTCCGTCATTAATTCCCGGCAACGCAGCCGCATTCATTACTAATTCCTATCTAACACGTCAACTCAATTCACTCGCGATCGATCGATCGCCCGATTATCGTTAGAAAGCCGTCCTAATTGCCGTTCCTTTTCTTTCCTGTAACCTGGTTAATCCTTGCGCTACGATTACGTTCGGTCACGAAGTATTTACATCTTACAGACGATAAGTAACAGAAAGGGCAAACTGGAAATTTTGTATAGTAAAGAATATTTAAAAATTCTAAAATTTCAGGATTTTCAAAATTCCAATATTGTGAAATTCTAATTCCAAAATTCCTGAATTTTTGAGGAACCTCGCCTACCTTAGAAAGAAATCCTAGTTTACGTCAACGATTTCTGTGCTTTAATTTTGCAAGCCAATCTGCCCGAAAATCCAAAGCTTTTTTTACGAGTCACGACGATGATTCTGTTTTCAGAAATCGGGTAAGCTAGCTGCTTGTTGGGCCGCGTGAAGCGAGCCGAAGCAGAGGTTAAAGCGCCGATAAACCGGGCTTACCGTCGTGACGCGCTTGCTTCAGCCTCGTAACTTCTTCTTTTCTTCTCTCGCTACCCTTGTAACCAGGCCATCCTGACCGTTGTTTCTTGCTTCTATCTTACAAGAAGTTATTAAAAATGAATCATGTTGTTCGGGAGAACTGCCTGCAAGATAATAGAAGGCCTTCTGTTTCTCCGGTTCGGCTTTCTTAGGTTCTTCGTAACAATGAAGCTACGAATTAGGATTTCATTTACTCATAACGAAAATTCTATTTCTGAGAATAATGGAATTATTGTTGCATTTTTCTTGTTATGTAGTTTGTAAATTATATAGAATGATAGTTTTGATGTTTTGAAGCATAAAATTTGAAGTTAATCGGGTCCATCAGAAATCAAATAAATTAACAAGTAGTACAAGTCAACGGTGTTGCGAACATCGTAAGACTAAGCAACTCACAAGACGATTGAACTGAACATTTTTCTTTCTACAAGGTTTAGATTCAAATAGAACTTTTTGAATAAAAATAGAAATTACAAATCGATTAAGTTATTGATCACTGCCAGTACACAATCAAATTTCCAATGAACTGTTCAAGAAAGGAGAAAGATCACCCTTCATTGAAGAAGCGTCGATATCTCTTTACCCAGTAGACAACTGTTATCGCGATTCCGATACCTTGTGTAATTCCCTCCTTTTTTTTTCTTTCTTCTCGTTCGTTAAGAACATTTTTCACGGGTTATGGTTCCCAGTGGCTGTAACGGGATAAGTTTCGTTATTTATTTGCCGCGAAGAGCTCGAGGCAATATCCGCGGTAAGGGAAGTTACGATTATTTTCTGGTATGCTTTGTGTCGCTTCCATTCGAAAGAGAACGCTTTAAAAGTTGCAACCACGGGTCGCGACGATAAACCGTATCTTCCTTTTACTTCTGGGCTTCGAGAAAAGGGTGGCAGGTGAATGATACCTTCAAAATGGTCGCCAAACAAGGGTTGATTTTGTGAAAGGAAATAATGTCAATATTCGTCGTTTGAACGTTTAACTTCTAAGAAAATATAATTGTTCACTTTCAAGTTCTTCCTAATTATAGATAAATCGAAGATTTGTTAATTAATTTTCAGTGTACAACTTTCAGGAACTAAAATGTTGAATATAAAAGAAACACCTATGACTAAAAACACTTTAATCAAAATAAAGTTCTGCAAAAAGGATTATTTGGTTTATAAAATATTTCTAAATTAATAGAAATATTTTATTTTCAGTATCATATTTCTTGAACCGAAATAAAATTTTCTTCTTCGAATGAATAAATGTATGAATACTAAATTTCATCAGCCCCCATAGAAGGAGAATTTCACATCGGGAAACGGAACACGTGGTGGAATATTTCGAATGAAGAACACGGGGGTACAATTAGACGTTCCGTTGGTCACGAAAACACGACGGTAGCGGCGACGTCGGCGTCGCGACGCTCAACTCTCTTCGCGATATCAAAATTCCACGCTCGGCACGCGCTGGAATTCTTTGTGGCCCCCATACGGGCGTCACGATAGAGTGAGAAAGAGGGACAGAATCGACCACACCCCTCGACGACACGCTCGAAGGGTCGTTAAGTATAAAACACGGAAAACAGAGGAGGGAAAATGGGATCGGGGACGTGAAGAAAAAAAAAAAGAACGATCGAACTTCTAGGATGCTTCGCGACTGGTCTAACGTTGTATCTCAAAATTGATCGATGGGTCACGCTTCAACGAAGCTGATTTCTTGGTTCTCTTTCTTCTTTTTTTCTTTCTATGAATATATTGAACGTGTTTTTCTGGGTGTTGATATGGAGCATACGATGCTCCATTTAACATAATAATTTTTTTGATGTTTACGTTAGGTGCATAAGAATTGTATAAGATGAAAATACTTAGCGAATAATTATAAATTAATTTTAATATTTGTTGTACGTCGTTGTAACGTGAGATTTAACATGACGATGTAATTATTTCTTTAATAAATAATATTGCAATAATAATTTTGTATACACAGATTTATCTATCTATATATTCTATGGGTATTCTAATGATATATAAATTTCTATTAGTGAAGGTAAATTGCTATTTATTATTATAACTCTTACAAACTGTTATTCATCAATGAAAAAAGCAGTTTCTATTATTATTTACCAAATAATAGATTTAATTTTCATTGCAAATAAAACCTTTTAATTGATTTTCGTGATTCTATTGTTTCAAGAACCATCACCGTTGTACGACAACAATCACTACCATGAGGAATGCCTAAAATGTAACAGCTGCGGCCTGAATCTCACGGGACCCAATCAAAAACGGGCTAGACGGTGAGTGAAAAAAGGAAAAGGTCCTAAAAATTTCACGAGCACGAAAACTTGAGTTTCTCGTATTCATTTATTCTATTATACCATACATTCCGTCTTGGTCGAAGTGTTTTACAATATTTCCATTATTTATATATTTTTTTTATTGTGTAAAAATTGCACTGAAGCATTATAACGCCCGTGTCATAAATTACAGAGTACACTTTGCAGGACATTCATTTGAAAATGAAAAATGTGGCAGCTAAGAAAAATTGAATAGATCTAATTAAAATAAAAGACTTCCATGAACTTATGCACCCATTTATTCGCCACTATTAATCAAAATGTAATCTACGTTCATCAGTAGCCACTTACTGCAAGTGTTTGGAGGATCATCAATTATTCTGTTGGTCTTTTCACAGATTCAAAAACCAAATACTTTGCGATCTTCACTTCGCTGACGTGGCGCTGATGGAGTGCTCGGACTTCATGCAGCAGTTGCGCAGCTTCAAACCACAAAGTTTAGGCTGCGCAGTTGCCCGAAGAAAATCATCGACCACCTTGATCTTCCCATTGCCACCGCAAGCATGTTCAGGTAAAATCATTTAAATTATTCAAAGACACGATTGGATTACCATAATTTAAAAAAAAGAACACTAAATTAACACATTTGCTATCAGCATGAACCAGTTGGAAATTCATACAAAACAACTTAATTTTTTTAAAATTATTTATTTAGTATTTTACATTATTAGTAGCTTTTAATTATACAACTTTTATTTTTTTGAAGGCATTTCAAGATTTAAAAAAATGGTCTCACGTGGTAGTAAATGTATTAATCTGCTTATCAGTTACTTTAACAATCACAAAGTTTGTATAATTAATTATTTAATGTTGCAACAGCTTACAAAATATTTAACAATTTTGGATTGTGATTTCCACGATTACAGGCATGTTTTAATAATTAAGTTTCATGAACTTTAAAACCATTTTGCATGGTAAAAGTTTGTACGTCAGTACAATGCAGTTCTGGATCAAAGGGTTTAATAAGTAAGTTCTATTTACAAAATTAAGGAGCTAACATTTTTATTGTTCCTGAAAATTAATATGTGACAGTGCCATTTACGAAGATTTTTAATTTCCAAACTACTATTTTATTTTTCTTAGTAAGAAAGAAAAGGACGGAATTGCTGGATCAATCAATTAGTTGTAATTATAGGTGAAATTATTTTTAAAAATCCTACTAAAAAATTCGATATTATTGCAGACAAATTGTATAAAAATTTTGTAAAAATAATAATATAATCGTCTCCTAAGATCAAAACCTACCTCAACGATTATTATTACAATATTGAAATGTAGATGAGTTCTTCCGCTAGAAAGTAAATAGTATCAAACGTGTTACTATTAATCTATTAAGTTAAGAGTTCTTTAATGTTAAAAGAACGTTTCATCGACATGATTACAAAAAAGAGGAATCGATCTCAATTTTAAATGGGTACACAGTGCACGACTCGGTTTCTTGCTCGAGTGGTCGCAATTCCTTTGAGACTCGGCGCGTCTAGCTGCCGGAAGGAAAGAGACTCGGGTCGCGAACTTTTACAAGCGTACATATGTATGTGTCGGAGCTACAGGTGGTTCTTCCTGTCTTGGATTATGCGCCTTTACATACGACCAGCCACGTTTGCACTTTCGAATCAAATTTCACTGTGACGAATTAGGGGAAATGAGCAGGATACCAAATTAAAATTAAAATTCAACCATATCACAAATGCAATTCGTTTCAACACTTTGATGACCGCACTTTACGTGGAATTTTTTTTTACTAATACTATTACAATTTTAAGTTCAAAAAATTTCAATTTACAGATACTGCAAAATAATTAATTTTTAATTGTAATTATTATTGCACACGTGGCACTGGTCATGAAGGTGTTAATTTCCTTTATTATCTTCTTTTTATTTAATTAATTATTCGATTATATTAAATTTGTGATACTAGTTATTAGTGACTTCTACAATGTTCAGTGGTGTATTAACACGTTGACCGCCAGAGTAGAAACATTCATGGTTAATCAGACACACTAGAAAATGTATAATTGGAGGTATGAACAATGAATTTTTTTTAATGATGCCTCAATTTGTTAGTTCACACGTTCAGTGTAATCTTAATGATATTTCAAAAATTATTCTAGTGCTTCAATTTCTTAATTATTTAACTAAATTAAATTTACAGTGCCGATTAACGTGTTCATATCCCATTTAATTAATAAAATTTGTATTATATTGTACTATCCGTTAAAATGAAAAAAAATTACTATATCCTCGAAAACTGTTAGACCATTTATTTCGAAAGTGATGTAAGTACATTTTTGGAAAAATTTGAGATTGTAACAAAATGTAATCTTTTTATTTATAAACAATCTATCATTTTGCTGGAAATAGACCAACACCATTTACAAAATAAACGGTCCAATATAGCAGTAATATTTAAAATACATAACTATGGTGGTTACAATAGGAACAACAGCTCTAACAATTTATCACAAACAAGGTACCAAAGTTTTATCAATCATTCTACTCCGTATCACACGAACAAAGTACTTCCCACAAAAAAAGGAAACTCATCGTTCCAAAATCCAACAAAGAACCAAGCGAAAAAAGAACAGAGACATCAAACATCAAGGAGGATGAGCATCGCTCCATGAAGAATCTCCTACCCTCTGAAGATCATTATTTTATCACGTCGTGGAGAAACGGACGAAGAAGTGGCAAGATGGAGCAGCAAGCTGTCGTATCGACGATCGAATTTACGAAGCACTACAGGCCATTAGTTCCGACAGGAGAACGCCGAGATTAGAGGGATGGAAAGACGTCGAAGATGCACCGCGGACGGTTCACTTTAAGTTCGAATACCACGCCTGTCTATAAACAGTTTGGTGTTCTACCTTACAGTGCATCGACCGCGGTATCGTCGAAGGCTGGAAAAATGATGGATCGATGGATCGATCGGACACCAATGGCCTCCTTAGTTCAAATGTTCTACCCGATTAATTATTAACCGTTGTGATTCGTCGCGGACTATTAAAATTATTTTTAATGATTAACCTAATTAGAAGAAGATCATTGCATGAAACGACAAATATTAGATATATCAAGCAGTTGATTTGGGAATTAAGAAAGTTTCACATGATTTTATGACATAAAAGTATTACAAAATAAAGCGTATCGTATATCAATTTATCGTTTAAAGTCTTATAAAAATTATTGCATAAACTTCATTTAATAAAATTTTATTTAATAACATGTTAATAAAAATTGTAATTACATCCACTTTCAAGTGGAACATATTGTTGACGAACATTCTCCTGAAACTTTCTTTGCAGACGAATTTTGTAACGAGTTCCCGCACAACCTAGTGCCCACACCTGGATACTGGATCGAGTGTTCCAGACAACAGATCACCACAGATACGATTTGGGACGAGAGCGAGAGCGGAGATGCGACAGACACAGAATTGGCCGAAGATCAACACGAATCGGACACCGACGAGTTACCTAGAAAGAAAACTACCATCGAAGAACAATGGGAAAAGAACCAAGGATTCGAGCTCACCTCTGTCGAACAGGAAACCTACGAGAAATACTTCTATGGAACTGAACACTGGAATTACTTCACCAAGGACGAGGATCTGGGTCCGGTGATACTCAGCATCAAACAGGAAACGCTGAATGGACGAGATCAATTCAGAATCCTCGTCAGGGCAATCAGTTATACTGTTCATGGATTGATTCCTGCCAGCTGCGTCTTTGCTGACAGGTATTTCTAGATTTTTATTCATTTCATGGCTAATGAAAAGTTTTAAGTAATAGCATTTTAGAAATCGTATTTTAAACGCTATTACCCTTTTCTACTTCTTTAATTAATTACTATTGAAAGACTCTGAGATTTTGTGAATTTGTTTTATTGTATGAGGGTTAAAAGGGTATATCTACCTAAAAATAAAAAAATTTTTCATTTAATAGCCTTGATATATTTATTTGAAATACAACTTCATAAAAATGATTCCAAATCTTAAAAAAAAATTTGCATTATGCAAAATTATTATTAGAATATTGCAATAATTTTAACCCTTTAAAGAACAATCTAAGAAATAATCATTTTACCTCTTATCATAAACCTCATCTTCATCTAATTAGTCTTTAATATAAATTTATTTTACTAACTTAATTTCTCCTTTCATTTTCAGGTACAATCGCGAAGAGGTAGTTCGTAGCCTCGGGAAAGAAGTAAATGTAAACCCACCCTTAACACTGGGCCAACTACCAGATACCCAAGACGAGTTGCTCAAATTGGATCAGGTCTTCATAAAATCGGAACTGAAAGTTGGTGTGATTTACGTAAAAGAGGGCCAACGAACAGAGGAGGAGATATTAGATAACAACGAAAATTCGACGTTGTTCGAAGAATTCTTGCAAATCCTTGGTGATAAAGTTCGATTAAAGGGTTTTGATAAGTACAAGGGTGGTTTGGACACCATTCACGATTTAACTGGTTTATACTCGGTTTACACCAATTGGAGAGGCATTGAAATTATGTTTCATGTGTCCACGTTGCTTCCTTACGAGAAACATGACGCACAAAAGGTAAATAATATTATTAAAAACGAGAAAATTAAATAACAACAATTTGTTATTTTGCTTAGCTGCAAGCGCAAGTATTGAATTGCATTGAAAATTTTAATTACAGTTTAACTATTTTAAAATAATGTGATAATCTTGAATATTTGTATACTCTAGGACTCAGCAGTCTACTTATTATTTTAAAAACATACCACTTTTAATACTAACAATTCATGTATGTAATTAATTATTATAAAATTTCATGTTTTCCAGCTACAAAGGAAAAGACACATTGGCAACGACATAGTGTGTGTAGTATTTCTGGAGGCAGACAACACTGCTTTCAATCCAGCCTGCATAAAATCACATTTTTTGCACACGTTCATCTTAGTTCGAGTCAGTCCGCGAATAAAAAGGAAAGTGACCAGGTATGAAGTGTCTGTGGTAACAAGGGACGAAGTTGGAGCCTACAAACCCTATCTTTGGGAACAGAATGTCTTCAAAAAAGGTAACAACAGATAATTCATTTTAAAGCAAGATTAATCACTGTTCTTAATTTGTTTCTCAACGCGACAGGTCCTATGTTTCGTGAATGGATTTTAACAAAAATTGTCAACGGTGAGAGGGCAAGTTATTCTGCGCCAAAATTCGCGAAAATGCAAGAGAGAACGAGAACTCAAATGTTGGAAGACATTGTGGCTAATTTGGCTAATCATGCTGAGACTGGACAGATTCCAAAACCGTATAGGTAAAAATAAATAAATAAATAAGAAATTATAATATTATTTAAATAAATAATAATTATGTACAGTTACGTAACTAAAGTATCAGAAATAATTAATGAAATTTAATGTTTCAGACGCGGTTCTTGGAGACCAATAGGTCACATGAGACCATCCTCGCCGCTTTTGGATTCTGTCAGAGACCAGTTCGAGGATTACGATCAACTAGCTAAAGACTTCACTAAAGTATTCTTGAATAATCAAGAGAATACCGCTTTGAACGCGAATCTGTTCGATGTTTCTTTCTTAGTACCTGGCCAAAAGAAGCAAAAAGTTAGATTCACCGGTGTTAGAGCAATTCTAGCAGTCAGAAGCAGGTGATTATGGAATAAATAATTAATTCATCACCAAAAAATATATAATTTATTATGCTATAATGTAATAAAGTATTGTTTTAAATAGTATTACTTATAATACGGTAATAAATTAATAATATAAATCATTTATCAAAATCAGTGATTTATTCAATATTTTCAGAGTGTTCCAAGAAATGTTGTATGGAATCCAAACAGGTTTTGGAAGTCCACAAGTGCCAGTTGCAGAATTACTTGCCAGACCAGCACCAAGTTTGTTGAGTCCTAAAAAGCCAAGAAGTTCCAATTTCCTTCAAGTTCCTGATATGGAAAGTCCAAGGTTCGTATCTTGATTATTATTTTAATTAACAAGAGTGTGCACTGTTAATGTCAATGGTCCAGTTTCAAATTTGATTCTGAGGACTTGTGTATTTGTATAAATCTCTTTGCATTAAAATTTGTTGAAATATGATGAGATATTAACCCATTTTTGGCCAACTTGCTCACTGATTTTATACATATTTATTATGTTCTATTATAGGATATCAAGTAATTTTTACTTTAATTTACAGTTGAATTTATAAACAAATCTTAGTTATAATGCTTACAATATTTATTATAATATATGGAAGAAGAATTTAAAATCTGAAATTAAAAATTTTAACAAGAAAAATATTCATAAAAATGATAATATTGATAGTACTAAATTAAAATTAAAACAATGGCAATTAGTATTAAAAAAATCTTTGCAAAATTTATTTATAATTATTTTCGTGTTAATGCAAAATCAATCTTGTGCTATCTAACAAGACTTCTTTTTTACTTTGGGATCACCTTTCATGTTTTACATGAATCCAATCAATTTTATTTCTCATTTACAAACCATGATCTACATTTTTCATCAGGCCAGAAATGGGTTAAAGAAAAACGAAGAAAATAACAAAATTCACCATCTAGATTTATTTAGCAAATAAGAAAATTGGAACACAACGGTGAGAGTAAAATTCGCCTTTGATGTCGTTGTCGAATGAATATCTATTATTGTACATATACATATTTAATTGTAAATATGTGTATTCTTTACGGCACTTCCATGTCTCCTATCCTCACGTACACATACACAGACACACAGCACCGCATGATTATAATTCACTGATCAAAATTACGTTTCAAAACTGTCTTCTATCGTGATACGTTTGTAAAATGCGATGGACTCGATGAAATTTTTGTTGCGATGCAAGAATACTCGAAGCTACAAGTGTCGTCTTCGCTATTTTTCTAAATTACATGTAGCATGTTTAATTTTCTAGATCAAGATAACATTGGAGAAAAAAATTAGTTCGTATTTACATTTTTAACCAGAAATATGAAACCACCTTAATTAACACATTGATTCATATGTGGATAACACCAAAGTTGTGATTTCAATTTTATCATTATACCTGTTTGCTATAAAAAACAAAAATTTCCATTTTATTATCTAATAAAAAGGTGGTCCCATACTTTTGTTCGATAATGTATAAGCTCTAAATTAATATCAACGTGTCGACTTTTCTTTTTTATTATTTTCTTCATTTTTATTTCACTTCTTTTCTCGTCGTACTCTGTATATCTTTCTCGACCAATTTTCTCGAACACGTAACGTTTCTATTTAAAAGTGTTCTCTATCTTCTTTCTTTTTACAAACGCAGAGATACGAATCTGGCATGCAAATAACATTCGTGCTCGATCGAACGGAATTCTCGTATGATAAGATCGCAAGCTCTGAATTATCTTTATCGCACGCACGTTTTCACGATTTTGCGAATCGTCGGTCGAGCTTTCGTCGTTGTCCCGTATATTCGTCTTTTTTATTACATTGAAAAATTGGAAATGCATTTGAACCTGATTTACCTGACCTTCCAACCACCTTTGACATTTCTATCTTCCCTTCTATCTGTAACAAGGGACAATGTTGGTATTTTATTCTTCGATTTTGATATCCTTAAAATATTCTGTTAATATGGTACATATCTCTGATTTTAAAATAAAACATATTCTTAAAAACTATAATAAAAATGATCGTAGCGAAAAAAATAACACAATTTCAATTATACAAATTTAGATTAATTAAAAAAAAAAGCACTCGTTATAGCTCTACAGTTTCCTCGTAACAAATATTCTATATTTAAAAATTAACAATATATTTTAAAGAAAACAAAATGGAATAATGTCCTTTGTAAATCCTTGAAAGAACTCCCTCTCCGTACCCTGAGGTGCCGCTTTGCGGTTTCTGTGAGATACTGGCTCTGACTTGTTTAGACCCAAAAGTGTGCCCTCGTCGCCAATGGTGAAACGAGCATTCTCGAGGCTGGGTACGATCACGGCTGGATGGGGAAGAAGTATCCGGAAACACGGAAACACGTTACAGAGCGAGGATCGGAAACGTTGGTCTAGCTCACAGGATTGCAGCAGTACGTTAATCAATTTATTTATATAAACAGAAATAAAGAAATTAATTCAAAATTTATTTACGTGCGAAAATATAATAAATTTTTTGTATACAAGTGTTCAGTGCCATTTTAAAGCTTCTTATCTATAAAATATTAACTCTCGAACAGCAGACCATGGAGACAGCTACAATTTCAATTTTTTTGTTTTGAATTTGTAGACAAATTCGATTTTTCTTTTTCAATCGATATTAAGCAACAAATGTTAAATTTACTATTTATCGCAGATAAAGAAGCGAAGGAGAAGGAAAAGGCAGCTCAACAATTGGCGGTACCAAGACTCAGTGTTTGCGCGGATGCACAAAAGGTTGATAGAGCGAAACTGGCACAAACCGAGGTGAATAAACAAAGTTTATTTAATAATTTATACCAAAACAATAATGCAAAAATAAATTTTATATGAGGCAGTTAGAATTAAAGAAATACAAATGACACTTTTTGAAATTTTTAAATCGAGAACATTGTTAAACATAATATTATGAATCAATGGTAAAGACAACATAACTTGCATCTCTTTAATTTTCACAATAATTGTCTCGTACGAAAAAGAAGAATTCCAATTTCACTGGTATATGAAAGATACGATTAAAAAGTATGAAAATAATTTAAAAATTGTAAAAATAAATAGCCCAGTAGATAGCTGACAACACGCTCGTGAAAACGCATTTTGTTGTACATTAATATCTCAAGTGGTTTCCGAGATATCGAGCTTCAAAATATAGCCTATAAAAGATTGGAATGATGAATGACGATTAAATACCTGGAAATACGCTGACCTATATTTTTTTCCTGGAATTTGTGGCGCTTGTAGTAGTAGTAATAGTGGAAAAACTGGTTTCTCGGCGGCCGTCGTTGACCACTGTGAGGTAGGTTAGTGAAACGCGAGTGAAAGATTCGAGCGAACGAGTCATTTTATACGAATAAGTGAAAGGTTTGAACGAATGAGTCATTTTATACGAGTAAATGAGAGGTTTGAATGAATGAATCATTATACAAATAAGTGAAAGGATCCGAGTTAAATCTGTACTTTAAGCAACGATATCTCGAGAATGAATAATCATATCAAAATGAAACAATTTAATCAAGTTTTACGTTAAGTGGCCACTAGCGTGATTGAAAAGATACAAACCTTTGACAAAGAAAACAAAAAAAGTCGTATCAAATATTTTATTCGAATACCACCTCATCTCCAAGTTCCATTAAAACCAGATAATGAACATTTGATTAACATTCCATGTAAGTTCCTCAATCACCTATAGCAACCTTAATTTCTTTTGCAGTTCGATATCATCGAGTTCGATCCAGAAACTTTCAGAATCCTCCTCGACTACCTGCACACTGGTTCCTGTCCACTAACCTGCAGCAACATACCAGGACTGATCTGTGCAGCAGAACATTACGACCTACCCGAGCTTCTTCAAGCGTGTTTCCATCACGCAAAACAGTTCCTGCGAATCGAGATCGTCTGCGTGATGCTTTGTGCATTAGAGAATTATTGCTGGCGTTATACGTCCGCTTCGGAGTTGGTCAACATGATCCTTGCATTCATCGAGACGAGAGCGTATCAGCTCTTTCAGAATCCTGGTTTTCTTACATTAAGCGAATCAATGGTACAGATGATCATGTGCAGAGGTTTGGAAGTTGGTGAAATTAAAAAATTCGAGGCTATGTTGAACTGGGCGAATCATAGGATAAAAACGAAGACCTCGAAGGAAAATGCGAAGTCAGAGTTCACATGCATCATGGAGAGGCTGTGCAGAGATCTTAAATTACATAGGATAACACCTCACGAGCTCATTAGGGTAAGATTTATAAAAGATTATTACTTTGTATTTTTTTTCATAATTCAGAGCTGTTCGATACATAATATTAATAAAAATTCACATATTTTTCACAGATCGTTTTGCCATCAAAAGCGATCAAAAACGAAAGGATCCTTGAAACCCTAATGCAACAAGCAAACTCTGGCATGTATAGAAACGTTGACAGCTATTTGGAAGCTTATCAAAACAATGTAAAAAATCAAGAAAGTTTCGATCGAGGAATGTAGATCACATAAGACGGTGAATCAATTTCTAACAAAGCATTCTTCAGAAATCATACCTGAGAAACGAATTCCAACCACAACTTCACAAAAATCAGAGTAATAATGGTGATGTTCATCTCAGAGAGCATAATGTTTCAACCAAGAAGGACTGTTCGACAAGTCTGGGGTTAAATAATTATTCCAGAAATGTTCTCACTGTTCATCGAGTGAAAGTTCGTTTCGAAGACGAACTCGCGACGACTGATGAATGTAATTAAATCTGTAGACACGATCGTAGAAAAGGTGAAAAATCGGGGAGACTCGAGTCGGATTCTTCCAATCATGTGATTCACAGATACGACTTACGTTGAAAAGAGACTGGATCTAGGATAGAATAGTCCAATAAAAAAAGTATTGATCGAAAGAAATTCTTGAATTTCTTTCTACAAAGTTTGAAATCCTGGAAATTCTTGAATGAAGAATAGTTTAAACTAGCTAAATTCTTCAGGACAGGAAAAGTATTAGAAAAAAAAGAAAAAAAAATACGATTTGCATCAATTAGAAAATTGAGAGAGAAGTAAAGCTTCGCCGAAAGCGCGAAGCAGAATAGAAAAAAAGAGCACAAATTTCATATCTATTTAAAGAATAAGGTAAGTTCGACGAGCTGAGAGTCCTTAGTCGAAGCGGATAATTACTATAATTGTGCTTCGTTTGTGGCGAACGATGTTGAAAGTACTCTAGCCACTGGTACCTGTCACTGCGAATAACACGAAAAGAAAAGTTTTTCGCAAGCAGCGATCGTTTTCATCTGAAAAGATGAGAAAATAAGGTTGTATTCGAGGCTGAAACGATTTCACGGCACTCTGATGCCGAACATGACAATCTGTATCATAAAGAACATATAAAGAAAGAAGAAGAGGAGAAATTTGAAGGAAGAGAAAGGTTAATTGATAATACGATAAACCTAACGATTAACTACTTGGTAAGCTTGAATGAATTTAACTATATAAATACAATATATATATACATAAGGGCGAGGTTAAGATAACAATAATACTGATAGATAAGATGAATAATAAATAGTAATAATAATTTAACGAAAAAGAGAAAAATTGAAAAAAAAAAAACAACATGATGTGTCGATGTGTTAATGTGAAATTCAAAAGGTGAAGAAACAAAAGTTGAAGAAAAACAAAATATAAGTATTCGAAGTCTGTTCTGTTTTCTATCGTAGTTTTTGTATCTTCAATACTCTAAGGCAGATATTCTAAAATTCGCGGGAACAGGCTGGAGAAATATAAGAAAAAGATTTTTCTAAAAAAATAAAACGAAAGTTAAAAATAAAAAATATACACAAAGAAGACGATTCGAAAGAAGAAACTAAAGAATGGTGATTGAAGTTTTCATTTCGAATATATTGCACTTTGATCGCTTTCAAAGACTTGCATTTCTAAAAGAACTGATTATAAAAAAAACTCCCTTTTTTTAAATAAATTAATTCGAGAATTTTAGTCTGGCCTGGTTCCCGAGTTTCATCGACTGCATTTTCACGAGCAAAAGAGGAACACACACATAAGATGAAAAACAAAACGCGTGATTTCGTCGGTACACGCTTTAAAGAGGCTGATTTTCGTCCCCTGTCTTTCCACTTTCGCTCACACCTCTCTATTTCTTCCGAAGACAAACAAGAGCTCCTCTCGAAAGCTCCAAGAAAAAAGAGAAGAATATTTTTTACACGAGATCACGATCATTTCTGATCCACCCAACCCTCTGTCATTCGGTTCGTCACGCACACACGTAACGTTCGACGGTAAGAAACGAACAAACGCAATGGAAAAATTATTAAAAAAAAAAAAGAGAAATTCAAAAAGAGAAAAAAAAATACACTAATCGATTCCCGAATTAGGGAATCGTCCAACTGTTAAGTGTCTTATTGTTCAGGCAAACGGCTGGACGAAAGTAGATCCTTTTTCGCGCTGTCTTGCGAGTGAAAAACAAATTATAAATAATTATAAATAAATAGAAGAAAGAATTACTTAATTAGGAAAAATGTAACACAAAGAAAATTAGTGATTTTATGTTTTAAAGCATTTAAAAAAATAATTCACTTTATTTATTATAATGTGTTTTTAATTTTTATTAGTTTCTTTAGAAAGAAACATGCGAAGGGCATGTGTCTACTTGCGAGTATTTTTTAACAACGAAAAGCTTTAATTACACAAAGGACTATTGATTGACGATTTAAGTCTTCTTATAGAATTACCAAAAAGAGTTTGGAATTACAAAATTAGCAAAATTATCCAAAATCCTACCTAATTAATATAAAAGATTCATATAAAAAACTTGAAAAGGCATTTCTTCCTAATCAGGCCATTCTTTCTTATACTTATTAATAATTCAATTTGAGCAAGACGACGTAGATAGTTTTTTATTTACCGAAGATGTAATTCAATGGCAAAATGAATAACGATGGCAATCTCGACGGCAAAATGAATAATTTGGATCATTTGTGCCTCGATCCGCAGCCAACCTAAGATCCAGGTATCTCGATTTTGAAAAGTTGCTAGTTCAAAGAAGAGAGGGCTCTTTGTAATATTTTTACAGAATCGTAGAATCAAAAGGTACAAATGTGACACGCGACCCGAGGAAATACTAATTAACTAATAAAGTAAATTAAGCAAAACTAACGTATGTGTAGCTGTAACAGAAGAGCAAAGAGAAAAATTAATAAAACGTGTCGTTGTAAACGTGAACGTTTTTGTAACAATGAGAACTCGACTGGACGATGATCGATCACCGTTTTTATGTGTTTGATCAAGAATTGTGTACATATATATTATATAAATGACCGCCTGATGAGAAGTCGATCTACAGTTTAATATGTATCGATGTGTATATGTGAGATAGATCGATTTTTTTATAAACTGTCTGTTGAACGTTACTGCTTTTCGATAAGAAAATGTAGATAGCGAAAGTTCTAATTTTGTTCATTCGTATAAAACTTTTTACCTTTACTTCAATTATAAAATTTGGTATATTAGTTATTAAAAAATTAATTCAAACTACAACTTTTAACTTTAATTATTTCAATTATTGTTTGATAGATAATAAGTCTTTTTAAGATGTTTTATAATGCTAATAGAATTTCAAATTTTTTTTTTTTTAAGGAAGTTTATAATTGAAATGATAATTTTTTAATTAATAATATTATTCATTAATTGTTATTTTATACAAATAACATATTTATTCTTTTTCTTATTTATAAATCTTGAAACAAGATAAAAATTTGAATAGGTGTACATTTAAAAATCAATTTAGTTAAAAATATTGATCTCATTTAGAAATTTGATAGATCAATTATTAGACATTAAATTGTAATAACGTAGTATTACGTGCTATTTCATTCGACGAATGAACACGTAACACCACGTATCGGTGTAATTTAACACAAGCCTACAGAAAGCGTGTCACATCGTATGACTCCTAATTAGGTACCACGTGGTATAGATTTAATCGCTGGTCGATACGTGTAGATCACTATGAAACTTGCGGTTCATCGCTGGTCGATGCAATTAAAACACTATTCGACGTTAGCGAAAATAATTCAAGGGTTTGTTGTTAGAGCGTAGTACTACGTGATTCGCAGCTCATCAATGAATAACCCTTTTGCTATGTGATTAAAAACTATTTACATATTTTAAATAAATAAATAATAATAGAAACGTCGACTCAACTCTGTTGTTCAAGGAATAATGGCAAAAGAATTGTTGTTTTAGAATGTTAAAATGACTTTTAATACCAGGTATATATCTTAGCAAAAGGGTTAAATCAAAGGAAAAGTGCAAAATACGTTCTACAGATGGTTTATTACAGGCGTTCAAACGATGATGCACTGATACGATCACGTCCAATTTCGTCGCTATGCTCTCACTATGTCGTTCATCCTCGTAAATGCGAAATAAGTACAGTAGATTTTCCGTGACAACGTCTACGATTGAATAAATAAAAATTTGAAAATGTCTTTTTTTTTTTTTTAGTGGGAATATTGAAGAGATCGTGGATTGTGTGTTGACCGAAATTCTACTAGCTCGGTGTGTAAGCGTAGATGTTCTAGTGTGCGATCGAAGTGTATCAATTTATAAAGCGCTTCCGGGAAAAGTTCATTTATCACGATGCAACTGCAGTGGTGTAATTAAGTAAAGGTTCGTGGGAACAGGGTCTGATTCTATTTTGAATTTTTCAATTATGAAATGGTTACCGCGAATTTTCATACAGCACGTCCTAATTTTAAACAGAAATCTAAATAATGGGATATTCAAATATTAATTATTGAGTAATGTAAAAATTCCAAATTGGCATTTCAATAATGGAAAAATTAATTATTGAATAATTAAAAAATTCCACATTTTTATTTCAATCATGGGTAATTTAAGTACTAAATTATTGAGCAATATCTCAATCTCCCATATAAAACATTAATTTTTAAAGCCTATGCTTTCCAATTCACCGAAACACTTAATCCAGTACAAAACAGACGCCTCTATCATCTCAACAAACATATGTATTCCTAATTATACATAACGTGCAAAGACTTTTCCACGCTCGATGACAGTCTAGTTGCATTGTTTGATACAAATCACACAGCGAGAAAAAGACGAATAGGAAGCAAAGAACTTGAAGAAGTAATTAAAAAAAGAAGATGTAAAAGGATATCTTGTACCATCTAAAAAAAGAAATATGAATTATTTTCATCGAAAGCGATTCTGTCCAGCCATTGCCGACTACTGTTCAACTGTAGATGTACTCATACACAGAGAGAGAGAGAGAGAATCTGAAGAAATAAAAAAAAAAAAATGAATTATCTTAGAGAAACAACAGAGAATATGAATGAAGCTATATAAATATATATATATTCGTATATAAATATAAATATATATACATTATATGACGTACACACGCGCGCACACGTAACACGTACACACATACATACGCATGCACAAAGTAATGCAACACAGGAAGACAGAAATTATTGTAACAGATACCATAACGCCACGTGGGCGGACAGCGGCGAGTATTGAATGCATCGAATTGTAGAATTCCATGTCATGGAATTCGATTCTTGCCGCATAATATACGGGGGGGTTGTGTTTGTAATAATATACGATAGAACGCTTAATGGAGAATATCGTAAGGGTTGCATGCAATGGAACGAGAATTTTTTTAACCCTTTGGGATTTTTAGTTGTATTCTTTGAAATTTTGCGTTGAAAAAAGTGATTGAAATTATTAAAACACAGGGCTGCCACGTGTAAGTGTAAGGGTGACATTTTCAGTAATCACAGTACACTTTCGATATATTGCCATTTAAGCGGTTTTCAAACATGCTAATGCTGCGCTTAGATCATCATAGTCTACGAAGATGATATATCTCTGTCTCCTCTCCCCTCCCACTCTAAATGAAAGCTTGAAACAAGTTTGAAACATTTGTATTCCTCTTCTGCAACCCTGTATGTGGCAATATAACGAAAGTCCACCATATTGTATAAAATTTATTCTGATGTCATCATTTGAGAAATCACAGAATAATATGTACTTTCATAACAGGTTTGCTACATTTACCCATTGTTTAATCATAAATCACTTGCTTTTTTTTCTTCTTTTTTATAAAATAACATATCCAATAATATATCATATTATTTTAAACGGGTTTTCAGATTGTATTTATTTTTAATTTTCTACGTCTTTTTATTTTGATAATATATAAACTTCTGGTGGACCTGTCAAGACATATCAAGGGAAATTTTTGGGATTTGAATATATTAAATATTTTTATTTAAAATTCTTTCTTTAATGTTTATGTAAAGAAAGAAAAAGCAGATTTGAAAATCATTCATTTTTACAAATTGCAAGACACTTCCTCTGGTTAAATATTATTATAACTTTTAAGTAGTGCATCAAGTATTGAGTTAAATAAAGACTGACGAGAATGTCTTAGAATTGAGAAATGAATGATTTTCATCTGCCTTTCAATATTATATAAAGATTAGAAGTTTGAAGAGAGTGATATCTATATTGATTGATTTTTTGAACTTTGACCCTTGAACATCGGACTCTAGGTCAATCAAGATCTTATGCTTATGAAAGATATAGAAGGATATTAAAGTAAAGTTAAATACAAAATTTTTTAACGAAAGAGTTTCATATATAGCAAGAATAATTTTTAAAGGAACTGTTGTAAAATTTAAAAAATGAAAACAATATGTTATACAAAATTAAATCAAAATTGGTTCGCCGTCCGAGGGTTAAAGGTATTCATTGATTAGATTACTGATACAATTCATTACAATATTTAATTTTGTTATCAATTGCACTCATGACAATTTTAATAGCGAAATTAATATTTATGAACACAATCGTTATTCACAATTTCTGTTAAACATGATTTTTATGAAAATGAAAAATAATTCTACAAATTAAATTCCTTCTTTATATCAATTAAGAAGCAAAAAATCTCTAATAATAATTTACAATTATTTTCTTTCTCACGAAATAAGTAATTTATCCGTGGAAATTTGTTAAAATCAAAACAAAAATTAGAATGTTTTATAATCTACAAAAAGGGTTAAAAATTCTCGTTTCGTATCAATGTTCTCACCATCGTTCTACGCTAATCACTGTTAAAACTCGCTGTCCACTTTTAACGACGGCTTTCGTCGACTCTCATTCACATTGTTGTTGTTGTTATTGTTGTTGTTAATCTATTCGCCGATTTCTACATTCGTTCAACGATCGCTGATCCCGAGCGTGCATAATAAATCGAATGAAAATTAATCGAGTGCTCGAGACAACAAATAGAGTAATTGAATACAGACCTGCTCCGTTATCTTCATCCTTATTTAAATAATTAACAAAAATCAAAACTAAATCAATTGGATCGATTGAAAGAAAAAACTAACAGTTCAGTTGAGGTTCTTCAATCTTTATTGAAACACTTTTGCGTTACATTAGTTGAGCAGTATTATCAGGTTGTTGCAGATGAAATGACCGACTTATTTATAAAAAGTTTTAATTATAACTTTGTTAAAAATAATATTTCTTAATCAAACTGTAACTTCGACATCGGTCGTTCGATATGCAACAGCCAAACAATTCGTGTATAATAATACTTACAATTGACAGGTCCTGTTAAATAAGCGCTCTCGGGATATTCGAGTCCTCGCCTAATGTTCATCGAGTGTTTCTCAAGTACCCGGATACTCGTTGTGTCTGCGGAACACGAATACAATCAACAGACACTGATAGTAACACGGTATTACGTGTATGTATGTATGCGTGTAAGTGTGTAGGTGTGTGTGTATATGAAAAGGAAAAAATTCATGCGTTTACGATCGACGGTATTTTAAGTATCATCGTTGATAAGAGGAATAACCGAGTGGTATTTTAATATAATAATAATAATAAGAGGCTACGAGATCATTTTCGAAATGTGAAATGTCGATCGTCTACGTTGATTCATGAACGTTTCGTTTGCTCGCAAAGCTTCGTGGCGAGTCAGCAATATCATTCGGATTCTTGTCCGTGCACTCTTGCAATCCAAACGTATCGCTGTGTTCGCATTATTGCCGCTGGAATATCATCGTTTTCGTATCAGATAGCAGATATTTTATCAGAGGAATGGCGAATACACTATGAGATTCGCGATCCTAACTTCGTGTTGTTCCAATTCGTACATTCGCGATCAAATCAGGCTTCCTTAGGGATAATGACGACATATGGGAAGCAGGAATTTTCAAAATCTTAATTTTGCCGATATTAATATTAACAGTAATTTGGAAAAAAAAAATTGGATGGAAGTGGTGGACCGCCACAGACCTATATACGTGTATGAGGCCTCCTCCCCTACATCGTCAGTTTCCTCGAGAACGCTAACGAGGAAGGGTAGGAGGCCGGGAAAGGGGATGCATACAGGAAGGTCCAAGAATCCAGGAACCCAGAAATCCCGGGTAAGTTACAGGAAAGGCTGGCGACCCGGGAACCAGGAAGCACTTGAGGGGGCATTGCTATTTTTCTTGAAAAACTTTGATTTTTGATTGCAAATATACACGAGTCAATGCAACATTCCTCTTCTGAACCCTTCTGCTGAGAAAAATACACGTTTTGTAAATTAGCCAGAAATAAAAAAAGAAATTCGGGACTCGCCGTGTCACGCTTGCGTGGTAACGAATACAGAGGCAGATGAAATTATATATGACAAAGAAAAAGATAAAAAGATTTATTGTATATGAAGCTACTGTGATGTTACTGTTGAATATAAAAAGAAACTATATATATACATAAAAAGATGCTGTATTTAAAAAAATTTGTCGAGTGTGTTTCTTTTATATACACCTTTATTGATGAGGAAGACGAATATCTGTATTATGCTTAGGCTTGGGCAAATTTTATTTCAAAACGTAATTTTATTTTGCATTTCTTTTTCTGTTTCGATTTTAAGTGAATGACTCTCGAATGACGATACACGAATCGTCATTATCACCTTTATTTCTAGTTAAGAGATTAAGATTTCTGGGGCCCAAGGCAATCAAACCTTCGAATGCCCCCTTGGTTCAAAAATGGAAATTTATTCTAAATAGAATTAAATAACATTTAGGGGTAAAAAGAAACTACGACAATAAACAAATTTTATTCAATATCTTTTGATATATTAAATGGAAGACTTATAACCGGGTCTCTTGGAAAGTGGGGCCCGGGGCTGTAGCCTCACTTAATTTTTTTTTCAATGATTATCGACTGATAAATCATAACTACCAATGCTATCATCAAAGATAACACTGTGTTTAAACAGTTACTTTTGAATAACATGTTTGATAACTCGTGTGCGCGAAGCACATTAGGAAATGAGTATATCTGATGCAGTTGGGAGAATAAAATTATTTCAGTTAATAATCTGATACTTTGAATTTAAAATATTTTATTTAAATAATGTCCAAGCCTGCTACTATTGTAAAAACAGAAAAAGATAATGAAATAGAAAGGAAAGAGCAATAAAAGAAAAAGAACTATTTTCTTTTGTTAAGTCTAGCTAATGGTATCGTTTACAACTATCAAAAATACACATTTTCAGAGAAAAATACTTTTTATTTCGCAGTCCATAGGTAACTCTTCGTATTGATAAAACAATCTAAAATCGGATCGACGGATGATTTTTTTTTTATACCGAATGATACGAACTTGATTAAACACAGCCGCTGATAAGATGACGACAAACGATAGTTGATGCTTCGTTAAATTTAGTATAAACAAATCCAATCGTTTTTATGAGTGTATTTTTTAAACTTCGTGTTTTCTTTCTTACGTTCATTTCTTTTTTTTTTCTTTATTTTTCTAAATTACGCGTACACTCGCAAATTTGAATTGCTGTCTAACAGTACGTGTGCACAATTGTGCGAATATTATTTCAGAGTGCATGTTACTTCTGGGGTCATACTAGTCGGGTCTGGAAAATGTCGGACAATACCACTTAAGCTCGAACAGGGCACGAATCGTCTCGCGAGCTGTTCGGCTAATAATACTTTAGAAACTATTAGATCGCCGTTTATAATCGCAGAGAATGAGGCGCACGTTATAAAATCAGATTTATTTACAATTCTACAAGATCGGTTTATGTACCTGTACAAATTCGCTGAATCGCAAAAAACGTATTGCGAAGTTTATTTAAAAAATCCTAATCACCATATTAAAACATTGCTTCTGACTCTAGGACGTAAGCCAGCGTATTTAATTAACGGATATATTTTTTCTTCTCACGTAAAACTCGCTAATTATACGTGCCTTTCGTGAAAATTATTTTCCTTTTGTCAATTTTTTTTTTTTTTTTACTTTTTTTCTTTTAGACCATTGCAATCGCTTGCAAAGCCTGACACAGTCTTATTAAAAACAGTATACCTCGCGTTCAAGGTATTTTATATTATGTACAGTTTCGTTTGTTTGTATATTCGCTAATCGTATAATAGTCCAGGGTTCCTGAAAACAATTTCAAGACAAGTTAGCATAGTCTTATTGTCAAGATTTTCTTTTCAACTTCACTTCACCATTTTGCCCTAACACTCCAGTCTTTTGGTGTCCAATGAAGACACTTAGGATCTATTCTGATCTGCCTCTTTTCCATCGCAGCTGCGTGTTGCTCGATAATATCCCTGCGAATAAACATGTTTTTGTCAGTGAGATACTGAGGAAATCCTTTGTTACAGAAAGAAACTAAAATGTCTGCACGATTTTTTTCGTTCCCTAACGATGCATTGACTGTATGTAGCCAATTACCTATTCAATGTAACAATATATTGTCCTTTGTAGTAATTAATGAGATTCAAATTCTGTAGCGTTGATATCACGTCTTCTTTCTTAATCGACGTCAGCTCGCATATTTCGCTTATTGTAATCTGAGGTTTCTCGTTCTCTACTAATGGCTTTATGTTCAATAAAATGTCCAGTATCGTGTGCGCCCAGTAACTTCTATAAGACAATAATCCTAGATCGGACAATGGTTTCTCTGGTGAACCTGTTTTACCTTCGAACTTCGACAATTCGTAGGAAAATTCGATCAACAGTTTCCCATAGCCTCTCCTCTGATAAGGAGGCAACGTAAGGATGCATGCCACGTTATGATCCTCCGTCGATTCTTTTTCCTTTGAAAAATAACCGACTATGTGAAATCCTCTGCTATCAAAGTCTGTCATTACGTAGAACAAGAATGGATCTGTGTCATAGTAAAGTGTCTTATGATCCAAGAATAATTTTGCTAATAGACAAAGGTTCTGTGCGTAATTCTTATTTTTACGGCCGTCAATTTCGAAAAACGATATCGATCCTTTTCTGTATATTTCATTGCCAGGCGGATGCCGTAGATTGCACTTGGCCAGGTGCCTTTCCAAGCATTTTCGACTTTTTCTGTACTTCAGACAGAATTCACAGATGTATATACAAGGTAGGTTTACCATTTCTTGGGGATAGGGACTGAAATACCACGGTTTTATTCTATGACGGCCTAATTCTATTAGTTCTACGTTCTTCATTCTTGTTACAATATCATCGTGATGATGAGCGACTAATGAGCCAGTGGGCCTCGGACCCGGCGTTTGCGGTGGCCCATCCTGAGAATCGTCGTTCTCTATAAATGCCGCTTTTCTTTTTCTAGACATTTTCTTTTGTAATGCTGCTTGTAGCACAGCAGAACCATTGACTGGTTCGTTACTGAGACTACTAGGGCTAGGAGGTCTACTGGGCACTTGTTTTTTTGGTGTGGCTGCACCAGTTCCTGGTGTGGTTCCATCTCGACGAGGGTACTGGACTTTCCTTGTGTCCAAACAATCTTCCATAACCCATTCATCTAATCGTTTATTGACTAAAATATTTTATATTTAGTTAAACAGTTGTTTATATACATAAACAACACCTCTCCTCCTAAATCTGATTATACTTACAATCTACATAGTGAACATAATAACACTTGACACCGTGTACTTCTTTAACACTGATGATTTCAGCAAGAGCTGTGGATGAAAGGAAATTTTTGATAAACCCTTAATATTACATCTACCTCGGTAAAGTCATTACTGACTGTCAGGACACATCAGAAGAAAGTATGTATACAAGCTAGTAGCATCCAAATAACCTAAGTATAACCTAAAAACTAAGCTGTTCGCAATGTATCAAATGAAGAACTATGAAGAATATTGAATCAAATACATTCTAGACATTCAGAATCTGATGATAATAATAGCACACAAATGAAATGTGTTTGCCTATACAGTGATTCAACAATGTGATTCAATGACACACTTATCAAATGATCTTTTTAGTACAAGATGGAATTTTTAGGAAAAAGAAATAAAACCTTTTTATAACAAAGACTTATCGTTGGAAAGAGAAATAATTACAGGGTGAAGATTGTACTTACGCCAATCGTCTGTTCCGTGCATTCTGACCGGTAAACGACAGCCTTCCACCAAAGAATTCTGAAAGAGAGGTTAAGATTACATGACATCCACATATTTACCATATTCAACGTTTTTCTAAAAAACTGTTAACATCTGGATATTCAGTGCTTTATATTACTTACCACTGAATCGCATATCGTTTCACGTTCGTCGTGTTCATCGATCATTTCAATCACAAATGCAAAAAACCTTCCACCAAACACGATATTGTTTTGAAGCGTTCACGGTACTGACGCGAGCGCCCCGCCGCTTATTTTGTACGTACAGTGAACTATATTTAAATGCCTCCCCGCGCACTCGAAAGGTCCGAATCGATAGGTCGCGATTGAGTATCGAACTTTCCAACAACCGCGAAATTCATATTTCAAATTTGACTTCATTTTCTCAAATATGAATTTATATATATGTCTATAACAATTTTTATTACTTATCTATATTACTTTTATATTTATATTACTTTTATTATTAAAATTGTTGAATCTTTGTGTATAAATCCGGCTATTCATTGCTATATTTTATTTCCTCAATAACAAGTTTTTAAAATAAAAATCTATGCGAAAAGGGAAATTATCAATTTGGTAAACTAATGATTACGTGTTATTTACAATCCATCAATATTAGCTATTAAAAGAGATGAAAGAAGGGTGAAAGAGGAGTTGGTACTTGTGCACGAGATCAAATAAAATTCCTCTCCAGTGATACGATGGAACGTCGAGGACCGTGCACGATATAATTAAGTAAGAATGATTCAAAGGAGGATACGACCTGAGCACTAGGGTTACGCGATACGTCATGAAAGGTGCTCGTACTTGCATGCAATTAATTCTGAAATACGTAACATTTCGAAAGAGGTAAATTTAGTGTAACGCTGTTCCCGGGGGTATTTCACACGATTCCAAGCTAGCATCTTCGTCTGCCTGCTTTTAAGGTTTGTAACGTTCAACCATTTTAGTCACTCCAGACAATTTGAGGTGACATATTATTCTACTCCGTCTACCTTAAAATAGTAACATCTATATTATAGATTGAAAGTTTCTTTTCTCGTCCTCTCTGAAGCATGAATTTCCTACTCTCTTCTCGATGAAATAATCTCTGATATAATTCTATTATCTTCTATCGTGAGCACAATTATACAAGTGTAACCTGAAATTTTATTACGATAGAACTGGTATTTTTAAAAAGAGTATTCAACTTTACATTTCATTAAACAGACATTTTAATAAATTCATTTTTTATTCAATTATTTTTATAATTTTTTATAATGGACTAGTATAAATATGTAGCCCTAATTACTTAGCCAAATTATTTTTTTAATTATAATCAAAAAATAATGTTTGTACGACTTTATCGCTTTTTAGCCTTAAAAATTCTGAATTAAATAATTTTAATAACAAGGTGTAGTAAAATGAAATGAAAAGTACACAATGATATATTTGGGTATGTCACACCCATCTAACCATCCATCCATGTAATACATTTTTCACCTAACTCATTTAAGTCCAGACGCTTATGTGATCGAATGTCTGCGATTCACCTTTTCACCCCGGTATTTTTCGTCGAAGAAGAATAACAACCGTCAGCGAGCCGTTCGTTTTTAGATAACAGTTTGATACTAAAATTACGACTGGTTCGATCGACCGTGTCGTATCGAGGGTTTACCGCTACCTCCTGTGAGCCCCACCCGGTACACACGTTCCTACGCCTATGTATCGTCCCGTACATACATATATGTACACATGTACGCGCGAAATCTGCACGGTTACATACATATGTACGGGCACATAAGTGTACTCACATCGGGCATACATAAGGGTTGATAGTGCTCGGGCGAGCAAGCCACCCTTATATGCAGGGCGTGGCCAGAGTCCACCAATCAGAGGGCGGGGAATCCCCGAAAGACCAAATCGAACCAAGTAAAAATTTCAGCGGTCGCGTCAAACGCCAACGCCAAAGGGGATGAGCGCGGTTGATCCGGGCTTACATTTTCGTTACTTATCCTGCGTTCGGGATCTTCGATACCGTGTATCTTCTTTCCTTTCTTCCTTTTTTTCCCACTCCCTCTTTCCAATAGCTTCAACGCAAGCTCTTTAATTGTGATAAAGGAGCGATGGAGAGGAAGGATCGGGAAAATAATGTGGATTAGATTGGCAAATTGAGTGTGTTTTATTTTATAGAAGTTTGATGTTGTTTCTAAAATTTGAGATGTGATATAGCAGTTTGAGATACTTCATGTCGCGTATTTGGTTAAGTAGATCTTATTTATGGTGTAGCAAGGATTGTACTCGTTAGTTTTAACTTTCTTTCTATATATGCGTCCAATTTTAATATTAATTAACACTCCGCTGTGAGCTTTATTACATTTTTGAATTTTGTAAATATTTGAAAAAAATTAAGATACTTTCGAATGTAGCCGAACATCAGTTAATTTAAACTGTTGCTCTTCTCCACCAAATTTCCTAAAAAAGTTTCTCATACTTTTATAAACACTTTTCAAAAATATATTCTTTATTTCACTGCTTTCTTCCATCATCTCCGAAAATGAAACACTATTTTCTATCTCAATTAATACTGCATTATTTACAGATCCAAAGAGCATACATCCTAATATGTGGAAGCACACCGTGAAAAACTACCCTTGTGCACGCGAAGCAAGGGTAAAAAGATAGAAGGAAACATTGCGTCTCTGAAAGAAGGATAGGGACAAGCAGGGTCTGCGTTTAATAGCCGTAGTGTTACCTCGGAGGCCTTTTGCCATTAAGAATCCCACAAGACCGTCCTCGGGGGTCCTCTCCACCCTCCAGCACACCTTACCCCTTTCCGCAATTCCGACATATTACATGGTGGCCCGGTAGAGTGGGTGTAATACGTGTTCGTAGCCGGCTATAACTATACGTTGCGGAGGTACACCTAGGTACCACTAAAATCATTAGAAACACGTGCGCCATGCAACGCGCAGAATCCTGTCCCTTGCCATTAGAATGCTTAGACGGTGTTGTATCCGGAGATCAATATCAAAACAACGCCGTATGACCGCCCATTCTGACGGAAAATTTGCGGAAAGATGAACGATCTTGATGGTCTTCTAATAATGATTTCAAATAACAGAGGAAAAAAAATTTTTGTGGAATTATTTAAATTAGAATTGAAATTCATTTTTTGATACATTATTTTAAAAGTAATCGATGTTAACTTTAATGGCATCGATACTATAATGTTTACGTTTAATAACAAACTTGCTATACAATTAATCTTCAAACGCTGAAAGCGGATCAATCGTGACTTAGTTAGATTTATGAAATGTGTACAGTATCGAATATAGTAGGCTTTCCGAGGAAAACTGGTGATGCTCCCCGCCCCGCAGGTTTCCCCGGATTTCCGAATTCCCAACCTCCCCCGTAGACTTCCTCGGGTACCGGGGTTCCGGAATCCCTGGCTTTGAGAATTTCTGCTCGGTGTAGTCGATTTATTAATATTTATTGAACAATATTATTTCCATCGTTACTAATAACCTCTTCCTAGCGCGATGGTAATTTGTGGATTCCATTTTTGTAGAATGATTTAGAAGGATTCCGTCTTTGAAAATTTGAAATGATATTATCGGACAGAACTTTCCCGTAGACCTAATATTTAAATATACCGTAACAAAATTTGTATACATTTTTATCGAAACATTGTATTTCCCTATTCCAAATGTTTCACCTCCAAAGTAAAGCATCATCTCAAAGAACACAAAGTCTCTTCTGTGCAGAGAAATACCCTCGTTAATCGCATCTGCACGCGGTTTACGTTATTCGCTCGCAGCTAGCTCGTTCTCTTCGAGGGCTAGCAAAGAAACTGGCGCAATCTCGGCGTATCTACTTTTCCAGATTGCGTTGCCCTTTTTCCTTTTTTTTTTTATCGGATTAGCCAGTGTGCCGCATCAAAGGAGAGAAAAACGGGAAGTCGAAAGAAGAAGAAGAAGAAGAAGGATGATAATGTTGAGTAAAAGCAAGGAAGAAAGAGGGTCAAATAAGAAGAAGAAAAAGCAGCTCGTACTTTCCTCGTCTCGCTGCTTAAAATTCATAAGGCGCTCTGTTTACTTACTAAAGATACGCAACCCTCCACCTCCTTCAGCTTCCCACGAACGTTGCCACGTCGGGGCCGTGCTTTATCGCGGAAAATAAAATTATTGGTTGCACTTTTCTCCCGCGACGGGCCGACACGTTTTATCTCGGCGCGGTTCCTGCATGCCGGCACGGTCGAAAGTCGAATCGACACACTCGAAACTCGGGGATTTTTCTGTGGCTGCGTTGCAAAAGCGCCCCGCGGCTGTCGCCGACACGCTCGCCCCCAAGTGCGGCTCAAAGAGGCCGTTTGATATGCTGATATCGCGCCTTTTACCTTCGCAATCTCCATAACGCGCCGTTTCTTAGCCGCGATTAGAAATGTAAATTCAAGAACGACCCTCTGCTAGGCTATCGGTGGCGGTTGTTTTAAAAGCTCACCGCCGAGCGCGAATCATCGCGTGGATTAACCTGTTTGCGGCTTGTCCTCTTCAGCTTTTGAATGAGCAATGCTGAATTATTTTTATTTTTTTTTTTTTGATGATTCTTTTTCTTTGTCAGATATAATAGAGAGTAATTTATGTAGCTGTTACAAGCTACAGATCTCTTTATAGGAAAATTAGAAAAATATTTTGAAAGAGAAAGATAAATTATTTCAACACTGTTAAGTATGTTGAATTATATATCTTTTGCCGATGCATTTGGAAGTTCCATAATTTTTTTAAATGGAACTACATATTTTGGGATATCGGTGATTGCAAATTGAATGTTCACTAATGGAAGGACCGGCCATTTTATATTTGGATTTTTTATGAAACGTTCATATAATAATTAATTTTTAAACTTTAGTTGCTATTTCAACATACTATTACGTCGTAAAATCGTGTCAGACTTCATATATTACAAAATTGATCATGAATCGCTCTAGAAAGTCATTTTGTATTAAGAATATTAATGACGGGTTTATGCAATTATTTTTGTCAATTTATAAGTTTTAAATCGATATATTACAAATATTATTTTACAATATTTTTATTTTATCACATCATGTCAGAGTACGGGCGTAAAGCGCCTGGTGGGTGTAGTCACTAACCCACTCAGGTTTGCTTTTTGGGCCCAACATCAAAATTCCTTACGCGGACGTAGAGTCAAGTGTTGGGTTTTCCGGAACCGAACACAATGATTGGCACGTCCTA